GCGTCCATAAGGTGTTAAACTGGTACCGTGTTTAAATCTGCAGCATGCGTGATGTCTTTGGATAATCTTATTTGTGCAGCAATCAAAACTTTATCTTGCAGAGAGTCATGTCCATTATGTAGTTTACTGATGACAAAACGATAAGAATTGTTGAATGCAAAGGCAGATATGTAATTTGGAGATCTTATGATTTTAGGTAAAAGAACTGCAAATGTACGCACAGTTAAAGTAGCTACGTAGTCTTTTTTTTCTCTCAATTTGTAGAGCTTCAAGTTTGACCAAATCTATGCAGAATATTAATGGCTTGCCAGTTACCAGTCATTTTTCTGATTGATATGCCCAAAGTCAACTGCTTTGGCGGTTTCACGCGACTATGACTAACATTACGGACCAAATCTTGAACTACTGAGTTAGCCCTTCTGCTGTTGAATCATGTTAAATAATTTGTTTTCCGTGATTCACTGCAACCTAGCTCGAAAAAACTTCCAAGCTTTTTCAGAATTTAAGAACATTGATCTGCTAAAATGTCATTGTGAGTAATATTCGTATTAAAGCTCTCATACGCAGTATTCTTCGCTTCGTATGTTGAGTATGGTAAAAGTTTTTCATTTACTTGCTGGAATAGCTTGCTGAATTTCTTTTTGTAAGCCTTTGAAACGATGACTAGCTGGAGATACTTACTATGCTCTAAAATTGACAGAAATATAATCAGATTTGTATTGCGTGCCTGCTCTTTCATGAATAAGCTAGGTGGTGCTTCATGCCTTGCTATACTCATTTCGTTGAGGAAGATGTAGAGATAGTCAGTATGGCACTGCAAACTGCCTTGTGCACACGTATCTGACCGCGACTCAATAAAGCACTTTTTGATAAAAGTCCTCGCCTACCATTTATTACTGCCTTGCTCCATAACTCTAAAAACTAGCATTATAACTTTGACCTTCATCTTGAAAATCTTGAATTGTGGTAAAAAATTAATTTTACAAAATTGAAGAACAGGACAGCCTGTAATTTGGTACTAGAAATTTTATAATTACAAAAATTGTTGCATGTTTTTAAACACCGATTTCATAATCCTCAAAATTTCATAATTTCATTCTTTATGCCAAATACCATTTCGCTGCTATGTCTTAATAATAATAAATATTGATTAATAAATATTTCAATTTATACTATGATACAGATATGTAAATTTTTCTTTTACAAAAAAGCTTTTCTAATAAATTTTCATCTCTGAATACTGTAACTCCAAATATAAGTTGTATTTATCATATAACAAAATATTGTAATATATATATATGTGTGTGTACGTGTGTGTGTGCGCGCGCGCTTAAAGAAGGTGACTTGTGCAGACAATCAAATTAGGAAGTATGCGGGCGTCCACATAATTCTGCCGTGTTATTAACAGATGTCTTTAAAGCACGTAAAATCTGCATAAGTTACCGTTTCTAAACATATACATGTGGTAGTCTGCATAAGTACCCTCTGGATAAATATATATATATATATATATATATATATATATTCTTTGGGTTAAGGATGCTCCCTTGCATTAGTGCTTAGAAATGAGACATATGTTGTTTAATAGTTTAGATCTTGAGAAATTTATGCTTAAATATTTATGTGTTAACTAGAGTCGTTGTGACAGACATACCAAGATTAACAATTTGCAACCCTCATCAAAAGTGTTTTAAGTATTTTAAGTACATAAGTGTCGATGATTAAAACTTTATTTTTTAAATTCCATCTTGAAAAGTATGGGTAAGCGAACTAAAACTTGAAATAACTGCCGAAAAAAGGGACAATAAATTAACGCAGTTACGTTGTTCACACATTAATTTGCGTACATATATATTGGTATTCCTTCTTAATTCCTCAGTTTTTTCATTTTAACATGTAAGTAGATACCTCTACACAAGGGGGCTTCCTTAAAATTGAATAAAAAGCCCTGTCTAATGCTATGATCCTATGATTACTGTTTTATACCATAAATGTTATGAACTCTGTCATTTTTGTAGAAAACTTTTTTTAGTAATCACACATAATCAAGTATCTTAACTACAGGTTAAATCTCCTCCATGTCAAGTTGTCATATAACAAATGCTGTTGTATTGTTTAATTTCAAACACCGAGGACTTTGCATCTTGAAAATTTATTTCAGTTCAGTTAAATTCAACCTGGTATCAATCGTAAGAGTTAGAAGAGATAGTTGTGGATCCGTAAACTCTTTGCAAATTGTCTATGCAATTTTTTAAATATTAGCATATTCAATCACGTATTAGAAATATACAACTGTGTAAGCTTCGTGAGCGTTTTGGGAAATTGATAGATACACTTCTATAATATAAGCAGTGCAGAAAATGGTAGCTCTGGTCTTTCTTTTCTATTCTCTTTAACTTGACGCTAATTAACGTGAGGTTTGTTTAGTAAATATTTTTTTTAAACTCATAGGAAAAAATTTTTTTTGTTAAAAATTAACTATAGTACAATATCCATTGTATATCTGTTGCTGAAAAAGATTTTTATTCCATAACAAAGGAAAGATATTGGAGGTTCTTGTGAAAATGGTTGAAATATTAGATGAGATTTGAACATTAAAAAGGACAATTTCTTATTCGAATTCGATTTTTGATACACAAAACATTGTGAGACTACTAGATTTTGGACCTGGTGGTGTATATATCACAAGAAAAAGCAAGACGCAAGAAACCCTTGTGCTTGCCCTGGTTAGATATATACAAACTGTACAAACGTTTGCATATACTGTTTTTACACTATTAAAAAAAGTACAGAATTATTTTGCGGGGGTGTACTTAGTTCCCTATCGGAAAGCGAGAGAGACAAACACCCGAGAATTAATGTCATACTATGGTCCTGTATAGCGTATGCGATTTTTCATCTTCTCTGCCAAAATATGAGCTTCTTTCCAAGATTTTAGAGTGAAGAGCGCAAGATAAATTTTCAAATGAAACTCGCCTTATTTGACTACTGAAAAAGTATTTTGGCGTAATCTGCGTGGAAATTACCTCGTGAGCCATAATCAAGATTGGCAAACACGCAGACAGTGGCAAAGTACTTTTCAGGAGCAGATAATACGAATTTTCATCAGGGAGAAACGATGCGCTTTCATTCCTGAAATCCAAGGAGAAATGTAGTCTTTCAACAAGAGGTATAGTCAAAATCTTATTCTCACTGTAGAGGGTGCAGTAAGCATCTAAAGATGAATAATAACGTCCCAAATAGAATAATTATTTCTTGTACAGTTATTAGTGTGGAAATATGTTTCGAGCACAGTTTTTGTGTGGAAAAATGTTTCTCACACGATTGTTAGTAAACAAAATTTAATTTTCTACACTCAATACAGAGTAAGAAATACTTATTCTCAACATACTGTTACGAACATAGTAATTTCTCACATACCATTACATAAATATAATTTTCTATTTTCATTCCCACATAGTTTTTCTGCATATAAGAATTTGAAAGTAACACAACCCGATTTCACACATAGTATTTAAACACAAAAAAATGAAATGATTCTTTAGAAGTTAGCTGCTGATTTTCTTTTCACTAGTGTTTTATTTATTTGAGCCTATGGGTGTTTTAAAAATCCCTGACTTTCACAGATACGATGGACACCTTAAAAATTTATATTTTTATATAGCCAAAATACCTGAAGCACCGATGGGATGTCCAAGAGCAATCGCCCCACCATTAATGTTGACTTTGTCAGGATCTAGTCCTAAAGCACGTAAACAGGCGAGAGATTGAACGGCAAAAGCTTCATTAAGCTCATACAAGTCAACTTCTTCTTTTTTCCACTGTGCTTTCTTCAGCTTAAAATAAAATAAGATTATAAAGCTTGTTAATTAATTCATAAAACCGCTTTAAACCATTTTTATACTCTTGTTTACAGTATAATTAAAAAATCCATACATACCACCAATTCAACAGCAGGAATAGGTCCTGTACCCATTAAATTGGGTTCAACTCCAGACTCCGCTATTGCGACGATTCGAGCGATAGGTGTAATTTCTTTTTTTTCAGCAGCCTCTCTAGACATTAGAACCACAGCTGCTGCACCATCATTTATTCCGGAAGCGTTACCTGCCGTTACCGTACCTTCAACCTATAATTGAAATAATGGCTTAACTGTGATTTAACGAACAGCAACCTATTTATTATCACTAAAATGCATGATTTGCTGGTACCAGATGTTCGATACTTTATTTTTTCTCTTTTACAGCGACGTTTCGGCTGAAATGTCGTTAATCTCTTTTCAAGCAAAGGTACAAAAAGTTACACAATCACATTAAACTATCATATTAATACAAGATTTGGAGGCATTCCTGAAATCAAATTTATTAATATGAACCCAAAGATAATGAAAAAATCTTAACAATACGTCATTTTATTGACATAATTTTTAACACAATCATTATTAAATATTAACATATGTACAATGCGATTTAAAATACGTCACAAAAAATACTATGTAAAAATGATTTTTAAAACACAAAATAAGTTAAACTTTTTTAATGATGGTGGAAATAATAAATTTCAAAAAATTTAATGTAGTTTATAAAATAACACACAAGTGCGGTAAATGTTATGTAGAACAATCAGGTAGGATATTAGAAATAGAAAAAAATGAACATTGTAATGCTATACTTAGATGTAAAAACACCTCAGCATTATACACCTATGTTCCGAGTAGTAATCACATACGTAAGTTCGATGAAAAGTCAATTAAAATAGTTGATCAGGAATCTAATTTTTGGAATCGATTAATTGGTGAAATGATATTCATTGAAAATATGATACTGTTAACAGAACTAGCGATACATAAATTAAATAAATATGTTTTTAAAAAACATACACATACATAAAATGTATCTCACAAATTTTTATAAATTTTTGCGCTATTATTATTAACCTAATGTGTTCGAAATTGAACTCAGTAAGATAGTGGACTGTATAATTTATATCGCACGCCGGATTTGGGGGAGCGTGAAAAGGATGTAAAAAAAAGGACCCAATAATAAATGCACAACACACTTTTAAACACTTTAGCCGTTTATTATAAAAAAACAATCTCTCTGTTCAATTTTACTTTAACATGTCATAATGCTTGCTTACTTGCAAGATAGAACAAAGGTAGAACTAATTTATGAGTCAGACGGAGAAATTACGTGTCAATCGAAAATGTGAATCGTTTTTCGTTACAGAAATCTTACATAAAAACGATACACGTGAAAATTATAAACACGAGCGCAATGTGACTTACCGAAAAGGGCGTTTGAGGCTGACTGACGATAACCGCAGCAGCAGCAAGCTGCTGGACAAAGGTAAGTATAAACAGAGTCTATTGGTGTATTAATAGACGCGTGCACGCTTATGATTGGCCCTTATAGGTAAGAGAATATCCTAAAGCACGAGATTTCAAATCTCATAAACTAAATTTTCTATTTACATCAGTATAATGTTACTGATGTTGCACACAATGTTTTAAATTTTTACAATACATTTCAGAAATATTAAAGTAAAAGAACCTAAAGTTCAATAACATACAGGTAATTCGTACATTAGATATATGTCAATTTATGCTCTATTTTAATTTCAACGTTCACAGTTAAACTGTGAGAAATAGACAACATTTTTTATGGTCTCCTAATTGTGTCAAAAATTAGGTTAATAAAATGATGTGTTGTTAAGATTTTTTTATAATCTTCGGGTCTATAACAATAAATTTAATTTCAGGAATGCCTCCAACTCTTGTATTAATATGATAGCTTTGAACTGATATGATTGTGTAACTTTTTAGACCTGTAATTGAAAAGGGCTAAACGACATTTCAGCCGAAACGTAATGAAGAAAAAAATAAAGTATCAAACAACTAGTACCAGCAAATCATACATTTTAGTGATTATGCAATCAAAATTTTTTATAATATATTGCTCTTTAATAATTTCAAGAAAGCAATTGAAATAAGTGATAAAATAGGCATGGCAATGATATACTGTTATCTTAACACAAAACCATAAAAAAACTAAAAAAACTGGTACCTTGACAAAAACTGGTTTTAATTTACTAAGGCCTTGAGATGTTGTGCCAGCTTTTGGATATTCATCCTTTACTATAAATGTCATTTCTTTTCCTACCGTAACTGGCACTGATACGATTTCCTTATCAAAATAACCTTTTGTTATTGCTATTTCTGCTTTTTGTTGTGACTTGGCAGCAAATTCGTCTTGTTCTTCTCGAGTTATGCCGAATTTTTTGGCAATATTTTCAGCTTTAACAAAATTATGGATACGATTAAGACTGTTTTAAATTATTGTAAATAAACAAACAATGTAGTTAAATAATAGAGTAATATTTTCAACAGGATAAGTGCATGGTCTCGTTCGTTTAGTTTAATTTCTTGAATAATAAGAAAATCGTAGATAGTTAAATTTTTTTCAATTTATTTTTTGTTCATAGTTCTTCAAAAAGATCAATTAATTCGTTATAAAGGAATCAAATAGCTCGGTAAAAAAAATAATGTACGCGACTTCACCACAAACGTATAATAACCGTGCCTTTGGGTCACTCAAGTTCTTATTTTAAGCCCTAGCGACGTAATGTACTACAATCAAACTTTTCAAGACACAAATTTGTTCCAAATCGAATGAGGTTCTCTGCAGTCATTTTATAATATTGTGGTTATGCAAGCTGCCTTTAAAGTTAATCGATAAGAACTTTTTTTAAATACCTCAGCTTTCAATAAACATTTTTTTATAAAACAAAATAAAAATTATTTTTCCGCCCTCGGGTGGTTTAGGGAGGTTGGTACTTCCTCGGGCGAAAAAGCAGTTTTCCGGAACTCGTTCGAAAAGTCTCCTTTACGAACCTCGTTACGTCCCTCACCTTCGGCTCGGGCCACAAACCTCTCGGTTCGCAAACAGGGACTTTTCAAACTCGTAGGAAAACTACCATTCTGTGGAAAAAGACTAATAATCCACAGTGATTTCAGCAGAAAGAATTTGAATCCCTTATTTTTTAGGGGTGAATTGAACTTTTTTTTTTATCATAGTGAAAAAAAATAGTATATTTCTTACCTAGGGCGGAAAGTACAACTTGCGCGCCCGAAGGGCGCGGTTGTTGTATGTTTTTGCCCGTGGTGAGAACGACATTTTTTGTATCGAGGGCGGAAAGTGCAACTTTCCGCCCGTGGGGACACTTTCCGCCCACCAATTACTTTCCGCCCTAGGGCGGGAAGAAACATTGTGGCCCTGCCGGGCCCAAAGTTTGTTCCCGCCCGTGGGCAGAAAGTAATTGGCGGGCGGAAAGTAATTGGCGGGCGGAAAGTAATTGGCGGGCGGAAAGTGTGCCCTAGGGCGGAAAGCACTCCGCCCGAGGGTCGAAAAAACATTTTAAAAAAGACAATTTTTTTGGATGTTCACTTAACGTGTTTCAGCACACGCATGCAAAAAAACACCCCTAGCAAAAAACTTAACAAATGTTCACGTTAAGTAATGAATTTAATATTGCGAAGAAAGTAAAAATTTGAATAATTTTTCTACTGACAAATCTATATGCTTTTAAAATTTTAGCAGCCAGTTTTCTGATGCCTTCAATCAAGATCGTATTTTAATACATCGTAACAGTGAATTTTGTTCACATAGTAGTAAAACAGAATTTTTCCCACTCTCTAGAAGGAGAGGAACTGTACTAAGTGGAAGAAAATCGAGGCAATGAGCGAGTGAGACTTAGCGTGGAGCGGCAGTTCCAGCAAGGAGTCGATAGACAGTCATAGGCTCGCACCCTATAGCTAACAGCCCTTCTTCTGTAATTCTACTAAAATCGAGCGAATAGACTCATGACAAACAATACCAGTTTTGTTCATTATCATAAGAAAAAAGCTACATTTGCATTATTTTAAAATTTATAAAATTAAATGAATTACTATGTTCCGAGTAGTAATCACATACGTAAGTTCGATGAAAAGTCAATTAAAATAGTTGATCAGGAATCTAATTTTTGGAATCGATTAATTGGTGAANCAGTCATAGGCTCGCACCCTATAGCTAACAGCCCTTCTTCTGTAATTCTACTAAAATCGAGCGAATACTCTCATGACAAACAATACCAGTTTTGTTCATTATCATAAGAAAAAAGCTACATTTGCATTATTTTAAAATTTATAAAATTAAATGAATTACTAATTGAACTCTAATTTTAAAGAATTTATATCTCTTGTTTGCTTTTGGTACCTGTATATTTATGAATGAAGTAATGATGAATTTTGGGCTCGTACCCTAAATTTCGTCTTTCCATCATTATATTTAATACCTTTTTTCCTTTAGAACAATGCAGGATATCATTTAATGATTAATACAGCTACTGATACACCATCGAGGAGAAAACAGTTGGAGCAACTGCTACTCATGAAATGGAGTCATTGTTACGAACACAAGATAAGAACACTCGTTTTAGGTGTTACGTCCGAACTTCTGTAAGTGAAGGGTGGAACTTGTAGATTAATTCTACAAACAAATATATTTAATTTTTGTTCCTCAGGAACCAGCCGTCGGCCCAAAGGCCTCATCTGCTTTTAGTTACAGTATACTTTTCTTTTAAATCGTTGGCACGGCGTTCTGGGGTTAGGTTTCACCGAGCGATATGTATCGAGTGGTGTACGCCAAGCTGGCGTTACCTACTGTTTGAGTTTATGTCTTATGTCATACAGTACTAGCGTATCTTATTCTTTTTTTTATCTCACGTCCTTGTAAAAGTCGTTGACATACGTTGTCTATTTAAATATTCCTTGACATTCAATTTATTCATCAAGGTAAGAATTATGTGTCAATCAATTAGAATATTGAATCTGGAAATCTTTCATTTAATTTAGTAATTCGAATATTTTTAAATTGAGAAAGTAAATTTAATCAACAGCCAAGTTATGACTTATCTGATGATTTAATAAATTTGGAAATGCCGGAAATAGTTAATTTAACAGATAGTATAAATAATAAAGTTGCAGATTCGCATTTACAATGTTTATACAATTTATAGTTTTTCTTAACTTAACTTACTTCTATGAATGTTGGTTAGCCACTGCTTGCGCGCACGCAGTCGCAAGATTTTACAAGGTTGACCGCAACGACGATTCTAATCCTATACGAGAGTACTCGTAGCGATGACAATAACGAGGTTGCTGTTTTTAACGTTGGAACCCATGTCAACGGTCCTTTCTTTCTTGTTCCTCCTTGATTCACTTTTTTGGCGAGTTAACAGTGGCTTGGTTTACTCGAGCTTTTCTCACACAGCTTAGTAACCGAACTAAGTCTTACATTTGCTTAAAATGCAAGCTTCTAAAACGTAGCTTAATCACCCAACTAGTCTCACATCCACTTAGAAGACGCAACAGAACTCACTCTCAAACCTTTATAGTTACTTTGGAGCACTTGATGAAAGAGAAAAAGCGAATATTGATATGTGCGAGGAGTTTTTATACTCTTGCACTTAAGGAGGATGCGTCAAGTTGGCGATCCAAACGACCAATCAGAGCTCATAATTACTCTCGATTGACATGAGCACAGTCGTGGTGAAGTAATTACACAGTAATTGATGGTTAAAACTGCTGATCTTTCGGATTTAACATTAAATCCAACTTGCTGACGAAATTTTTTATGATATTTCTTGTGGATATGCGCAGTGAATAATGTTGAAATTGTTGATTATCTACATTCTTGGATGTACCTCTGCGAATTGATGTTGTAAGATAAGCGCTTTATAAGATTGTTGGAGGTTGCACGCGTAGTTCGAGTTTTGCGATGGTAGCTTGTTTCATAAGAAGTAAGTTATTTGTCTTACGATTGCAGAAGCAGGTGTACCACTCGATGATTGGAGATCGCTGAGCTTTTGCTTTTATAATTAAAAAACGACACCCTGTGTTTCGAAGTAACAAATATTAAATACATGACATGGAATGTCACATGAGTCTCTAAAAACCTTTCCGAAATACTTCGTGTGAAAGCACTAGTATTTGCTGATACCAAGAACATTTCTGTGTTATCCTGATTTCTTCCCGATCATCTCCTGGAGTGTCATAAAACACTCAAAACATACATATATACCGCTCATGTTCCGTGTAGGAAGAAGTTTGCATAACGCTTCAGCACTTAATCTCTATGATATAATGAAATAACGTAGATTTATAATACTGGAAATCTTACCTATTAAATACGAATTACGAAGGCCACATTAATAACTAGGAAATTCATGTGTAAGGAAGGCCATTGAACTGAGTTAATAGACAAAGATGTAAACGGTTAAGGTGCGCAAAGACCTTGAGCAAGCTATAGAAGCTTATAACATGATACATGTAATAAATTGTTTTTAACTGTTAGAACCCATTTTCATATTTCAATATCAAGTTTCTTGTAGATTTTATTAAAAACTAGGTGTGTTTACAATATCTTTGGAGTTTATAAAAGTCTTTTATTAGTATGAAACTTGCAATAAAAATATAATTTCACAAGAAAATCGTCATTCTATCTGTATCATAGCTGTAAATAAGAGTTTACTGTATTGAATCGTAATGATAAACCCAACTTTCTATTACTTTGTATGATTTGTTTTTTTGAAGCACTGTCACAAATGGTTGAGAGATGTGTTTTACCTGAATAATTGAGGAAAAAGTTTATTATTACAAGATTCTTGGAGTAAGCATTGTGTTGGAATACAAGTGAATTTATATTAGATGTGTAAGTAGTGACGTCTGTTATGTGGCATGGGTACTGTGAGTGCAAGATGATGTGTGTGTGTACTTTGTTGTCTTACAGTGATGCAGAAGAGAATATAGACCATAAAAATAAAGATCAATTAAGATTAAAAGATCTCCTCTCACAATACCGAGAGACTCTACGAGAGCGTGCGTGCGCGGAAACGGCCATATTCTGTCTTCCTTCTCTTCTGCATCACTGTACAAACTACGAAGCACACACACGTACATCATCTTGCACACAGAATGCCCATGCTGCATAACAGATGTCATTACTCACAAACCTAATATAAATTTACTTAAATTCTAACACGTCTCCTTAAATTTATATTACAATCTCAATTTTAGTATCTTAAAATACTTCACATAAATATATTTTTAAATCTCTCAAACTTACTTCTGTCTAAAGCTTGTGAGGGTCGTGATTATATATAGATATTTTTACTTTTAATTGAATCAATATTACTTTCCAGTTCTTGCACGTGACGTCATATATTCATGTGTGTTAGTATTTATGGATTCACCTT